AAGTGTAGTGGTTAACTAAAATTAAATACTCTTCTAACACGTCATTTCTCACAATTAAATCACAGTGCACGTGTTAGTCGTGGATATAATATTTAAATGAATATATTAAATATTTATTGAATATTATAGCACAGGGTAAAAATTATCTATGAAATATTTCTAATTCCCTTTACTCTTTCTCACGTATACGTATCATTACACGTATACTCGAATCACTCATTCTTTCTTACAGACATCATTTATTTTTACATTAATATATATATATCAAATATCTATGTCAACCATTACCACAGCATATGCATTGAGTATCTATTATCTAACGATGGAATACAGTGGCAACCAGTGCGAAGATAAGAATAGATAAAAGCAGGAAGAAAATAAATTCGCTTGTAACAAAGCGTTAGTTTTAATGGAACTGGCTATGGAGGTGGTACACGTGGACGAATCGAAGTAACGTTGGCTGCACGTTTTAACGTTTCATCTCGGCCGAGCAATCGAAAGTCTCTTCGTTCACGAAACTCGTAACAAAAGTCTTTCAAATATCGTAGCATAGCCTTTGGCGAGAATCTGTATTTACAGAAAAGATTCCACTGGCAGCGCGCGAGAGTTTCCCGCACGTGATGCAACTTCCGTTGCCCGTACTTTGTCTTTCCTGAGTGCCGAACCAACCTTTGCTTTCTAGTACAGGAATCCACGGAATTTTACGAGTTAGCACGAAGTTTCCGTGATCTGAAAATCCAGATAAATATTTGAGACGTACTCTACGGTATGGCGAAGTTGATCAAATTTCCTCGCCGCTTTTTATACAAAAGTAATCCTCACCTTCCCATCAGATTTTATTTCTTAAATCAAACATGGCTCGTTAATTTCTCTGACGTATCCGACAATCGAACAAAATTTTAGATACACTGTGTTTCACGTTGATATTCGGATATCATGTGATTTTTCAACGAATTGATTGGTTTTCGGTATATTAACTCTTTACCGTCGACTAGCGATTCATCAGCATACACAGATTCTCAGCCACAGATTCTCCCTGGCGCTTCCCATGTAAAACTCCTCTCATATAAAAATGTGGAAGCTTACGAAGCAACGCAACTGACGCAACTGACAAGGAGAGTGCAAGTCCTTCGGGTCACCGATTTAATCGAAACTTTGTAGGTTTGTAGATTTCGTCATGCAGTTCAAGAATATATATCATTATAGCCGCCACTACTCGATAGTTTTTGAGATATTAAAGAGATTTAAGTTTTATTACTTCGGTAACTACTGATTTATTCCTTGTGATTTTCAAGTGGTGGTGTGGCTTAATAGCGATACCCGAAAATTTATACAATGCTCGTGTTCTCTTTCTCAATCGGTGGGCCACGAATCCTAAATACTCAGACGCATTAATAAACTTCCACTCGTTTGATTGCGAGGTATCGCAATTAAATAATTCTACAATTCTGTTATTATATAATTCTTTATGTACTGCTCAAAAAAGTATCGTCAGTTTTCTAGTAGAGAATCTTTGAATTTCTACTTTTCTCTAGCCAAAAAATAGTCGAGTGCAAAGGGTTAACACGTTAAGTGCCCAGCCCATTTTGCTTGCCGTTCCGTTCAGGCCCAGACTAAGTCGTCAAGTGGGCCACCGGCAGTGGCGAAGTATTCATAAAACTCGGAGATATTGTACCAATTGTTATAACAGGAATTCCCAAACGTTAGGTCCAAAGATGGCGAAGAATTTAACACCAAAAGTTAGCACCTTTTGGTCCTAGTCTGGGCCAGTGCCTGAGGATCGGCCGGGCCCGAACAGAAAGTCTAGCGTCAGTCCCTGGGGACCGGCGTGGCACTTAACGTATTAAACTCAACTTCTTTAACACTAGATTTACGGAACCCGTCAATTTCACGGATGGGTTGCTCCAATTATGCGATGATAACAGATTTAGTTCACTTATATTAAGATTGTTAATATTGTAATTATTTTTAAATTAAACTAATCTTTAAAAAAAAATGACACGCGATTTCCTTCACCTGTCAATTTGACAGGTGTCAAATATGTAGTAGTAGGTATACAGATGGCGTCCGCAAACGTAGTGTTAACGCTATACTTACCACAGTCTAAACGATTACTTCTAGACTTTTGGTTAAGAATTCAATATTTTGCATTCAGTATTATTATTTTCGAAATTAACTAACGATGTTAATGTCATCACCGTAAAAATAAAAGGTGAAAATTTGTTCGTTCAAATTTGAATTTGGTTTTTCAACTTGATTTTTTATTTAACGTACTTGTATGTATGTTTTATATTATATCAATGTTTGTCTAACAATATCATGGTAGAAATCGATCGTCTTTTGATTTAGATGGTGTCAGATAACAAATGTAAGAACATCTCTTCTTCAGCCACGTGTCTATTACTCAAACTGTTAAACATTCATTAGGACACTTTCAGTTTACTCTCACAACGTCGAGTTTCAGGAATTGTTCCAACATCTTCATCTGTACGCTACATCATAACAATACCCAAACTCTGTACGTTTGAAACACAAACTCTGTTTATTTACACTGGCCACATGTTTCCATAGAGACCACATGTGGATAATGCTACCGGCTACCTGTCTCATGACTGAAGTTCATAATAAGTGCTGAAACAGTTTCAGAAAGAGCTATTAAAAATTCTCATACAATGGTTTTCTCTAAATCAGTTATAGAAAATCGAAATAATATAATATAACTGTCATAGCGAAAAAGAATCTCGAAGAGAATATCATGCTAGTGAGAATATTATGCTTGCACGCGTAATGCAGTTCAATCTTATGGTGTCAGTGGCTAACTATAGACATGCCTACTGACATGGCGAAAAAGAATCTCAACTATATCGGTTATGGCTCCAGTAGCTTTCGAATTATCCATATCTATATCGATTCCTATTTAAAAGCGAAAGAATTTTAATGAATTACGAAGTATTTTTAGGTTAATTTTTAATCTTTAACGATTGTTATTCTTTCACGACACTCAGTGTTACTAAATTTCGGAATACAAGGTAATTAATGATGTCGTCGTAGTGACGCCAATGTAATGCAAAGGGTTAATATATATTTAGGATCGTATTTAGGAGGGATCGACTAGAATAATATTGCAATACTTAACAGAACGAAATAAGCTTTATTAATAGAATAAGGGATGTATGTAGGAATCGGTTTGGGTGGATCGGCTAAAGTAGTGCTGTTTTACTTTTTAATAAAATACAGTAAGCTTATACGTAGATTGACGGCTATGAAACAGGAGGGACTCGCTATGGGCACCGTTCGACTTTGATTTCTTGCAGACATACTCTTAGACACTAGCTTAAGAACTCTTAAAGACTGGACACCGTAGACTGTTCATGACTGACGACTGTGGAGACTGGAATTGCCCGCACCCTTGCACCCTTATTTAAAGCATTCATGCCCAGGCTTTCCTTTCCATTCATGCCCCTTTCCCACGCAACCTCCGTGGGCCAGGTACTTCAATCACTCTGGACGCATCCCTAAACTTTCGCTCGACCCTACCATAAACATTCTTTGCAGTTAATTCGCTTGCACGCGGTCACTTCCATCTTAAGCCCAAACACACTTGGCATTCTTTCAAGGCCGTACTTATTTCAATCCCACATGTATATAAGAGAATAGTAACTATTAGTAACTAGTAACTGTAACTAGTAACAACGCTTGTCTTGACTGGCTACGACCTCATGCGACCTTTTACTATCACGCTTTGACAACTTTCTTACAACTGACTTCTAAGACAGATTTCTATGACTCGCAACTCACAACTGTAGAGATTGATGGTATTTATTTATTTAATAATAAATTAACAGTGATAGGGTATGTGAGTAACGATAAAGATACGAATTCTTACAACTTATCACAACGCTCAACCTACACTTCTACAGCAACTCTCCTGTTACAACTCACATCTAGCAACAACAATAATTCTGGCAACTAACTTCGACAACTCCTCCCTCCGAGTTAGCCCCTCCGAAGGGTCACCTTCGCGAGGACCCTTCCCGAGAGGTGACCGCGGTCGCTCTGGGGTTGCGCGTGACCACCTCACGTGGGGAGGCCCCGACCTCCTACGGCCCATCCAACAATAAGTAGCAGCTAGATACTAACGGGTCCTCTAGACCTGAGTTCCAGGCCAAGACAGTCTACCCTAATAAACGAGAGTCCCTCGTTTACCATTCCTACAGATATTGCTTAACACGTTCGTCGCCCAACGCGATTCGATTGAGTTTCTCGCGGGGCCCAAATCCTACTGTCGGAGCGCTAGAACGTTATCGGACTGATGATTTGGAGGGGTCTAGTACAGACACCGCTCACTAGATGTTGGTCAACGGACCCTATTTACAATTTTTCATTTCCTGTAATCGTTTTGAATTACTATCAGCAAACTTGCATTTTGCAAATAATCAAACGATAGAACAGAGTAGCAGACTTGGTAAAGTTTCACCAAACATATTGACAGACAATTACGAAAAATGTAAAAAAACTACGACCTATTGTTCCATTTGTCCAAAATCACCTCAAATGTGTTTAGACTGTTTTAACGAATACCATGTGACATAGTATAATGTAATATTTTATCCTAAATATAAATTAATAAAAAGTATAGTGTAATGTGTATATTTTTCATATTTTTATACTGTATATCCTATATTTATAATTCAGTGCTTATTCTATTAAATTCCTTTTAAAAATCCAGCTGAAAATCCTATTTAACTTGAACAAGAAGAGCGTACTCATATTTGGGTGACGGGACCCCCACGGAAGCATACTCGTCACCTAGATATGGGTGACGCGGCGTCGAACGTGTTAATCCGCTAGAAGGATAGTAATATACGAAAGAAAGAAACAATTCGCCATTGCTGAGTCATTTATAATTCATTTTATAATTCTCTTCTCTATCGTTAATATATATTTAAATCATAATATAATTCTGTTTAATAACATAAAATGAATGATTTCTTTTGCAGGTCAGATAACTCCAGAACCATTGCCAGAATTTTTAGCTCCTTTGGAGAATCACACAGTGATCCAAGGCCGTGACGCTTACTTCACTTGCGTCGTTAATAATTTACATTCGTACAAGGTACATGTTTCTATAATATACTCTTTACTCATTGATTTGCAAAATATGCTTAAATAAGAAATAAAAAAGAATAAATACAAGAAGCGAAACTGAAACGTGCGATAAAAAAAAAAACAGGACAATGCCTTTCAAGAGACTATAATATCGTAGTATGCAATACATTGTATAGAATGTATTATACCCGTTATACTGCTCGTACGATTTTGCTTGCGCTATGTGCAGCAGTGCTCGCTTAATTGTCGCGCGTTTGCTCGCTTAACTGTCGCGGCTTCAGCTACTTTCTTCTATTTCAGTCGTAATAAGTCTTTCCCTTTCTCGTTTCGCACAATTCTCGAAACATCTGCCTGCCCGGATAACTGTCGCGTCGCCGACTCGACCGCGCGACGGTTAAACGGGCACTGCTGTAACTCGAAACGCGATTTTACTTTTTCATGGGAACGCTTCGAATGTGTTTTTCAGGTGGCCTGGATGAAGTCCGATTCTCGAGCAATTTTGGCAATACACACGCATTTAATAGCGCATAATCCACGGCTCTCGGTTACACATAATGGGCATAACACGTGGAAGTTACGCATATCGAATGTTCAGAAAAATGATTCCGGCACTTACATGTGCCAAGTGAATACCGAACCCATGCGAAGTCAGGTAAGCGAAGATTTCTACACTTCGAAAATATTTATTTGTATTGTGCAATATAAAGAATCAGAAATATTTATTTATACCTTAGTAATTTTTCTTTTTATATTTAACAGTTTCTTTTGTAGGGACACATCCCAGATGCGGAAAGCGAAGGTCTCTTGTATATATTTTCGACTCCTTCGCGACATCGAGGGTTTCGGGTCAATAGGGACCTGGTTTGTGTCTTTACAACCAGGGCCCCATGACTCGCAGACGCGCGGACCACCTCGACGTCTAACGAACAGCGAAAAAGAGTCAGTTCGCTTTCGCCTTTCTAACAACACGGGTCTTTCCCAAAAAGATAGCCTTCAGTTTTCCGCATCTGGCCCCCCCGCACATTAATAAAGTCCTACTCAGGAAACGTAGTGCTCTGTTCTGTAAAAACCTCTCGTCCTCCCCATTATACCACTTGTGTAAGCGAATTGGCTGTGCTGATACGATTTTGATCGCGTATATCAGTTAATTAGCATCCGTTTCGTAATTTATTGGGTAGTCTCCGGAGGAGCAAATGGTCCTAAAATCTTCTTTTGAGAACGAAAAAGGTATCTCTGGCGCAAATATTCAAGAGTGCCTTCAGAAATACATTATTGTTACAAAATGACAACGGTTAGTTCTCGAAGATTTAGGAACCCACCCCAAAGTACCACAAACCGTACGCGGCTTGATGGTCAGATAAATAGGCTCGTGAACCAGAGAGTGCGAGCATTAACTCGTGGTCATCAACTTAAAGTTGATCCTAGACCACCTGTTTTGAATTCCCAACCTTGGAATACCGTGACTGTCACCGATCGATTCATCATTAATCAAGATGAATGGATAAAATCTGGTAAGATCGGTGGTATTATAATGTCACAACAAGGTTTGTGCATACGACTTAGTAACAAACCATTTCCTACCCTCGCTGCTATACCGATAGAGTTCCGAATGTTATCAGTTAAAGCATGGAACTTATCTGACGAGGGATCTATCCGATTATCGCCTATGGATTTTCTTGAAGGAGATAATTCACATGAACTTGATAATATTGGTGTTTCGGCTCCAAAGAATGGTTGGGCTGCATGTGGCTATCGTTGGCCTGTAGCTCATCAAGAACACGTATTTTGTCGAGATAGCACGAAATTTGATATAAAGAATGATGGAGTTAACATCTTTTATCTTGACGCTGCTGATGGAAATAAAGTGGAATGCCATTTTCAAATTTTATGGCGTACTACTAATTCAGCATCTATAAAGTTAAATTATATACGTGAGCCGATATTGAATCAACATATTCCGGAATCTCTTTACGATAATATTATTAAATTGAAGACTAATTCTGTTATTTCAAAATTATTGGAACATGATGATGATGATTATGATATTTGTGAAGAAGAAACCACGGAGGATACCTGCGACCATACCACTTCAAACGATCGTGGGAGGACCCCCACACTTCAATATAAATTAAACACTGATCTTAGATAATAATTAAACATATTTTAGAAGATTGTTTTCATTATCATTTGTACTATTATATATAAATAATTCTCAGAATATTCTCTTCATGATAATGTTTATTTGTGACCATATTCCAAATAGTAATAATTTGATTTCACTTTTGAAATAGCTTACTTAGTTTATTAACATTAAGACCACCAAATTAGACAAAATTACTAGTTTTCTATTTCTTCGTTTTTCATAATTGTTAAAAATATGCAGTTATTTTGGAAAAATTAATATTAACATTTAATGAAATAGGAAATAATTATATGTGACAAATATATCTCAAAAATCTTAATTGCTGCAATTTATTATTGTCTGAAAGAATTAATTAATTAAAACCCAACCTAACCTAACCTAACCTCCAAATTAGACAAAATTACTAGTTTTCTATTTCTTCGTTTTTTATAATTGTTAAAAATATGCAATTATTTTGGAAAGGTTAATATTAACATTTAATGAGATAGGAAATAATTATGTGTGACCAATATAACTGAAAAATCTTAATGCTGCAATTTATTATTATCTGAAAGAATTAATTAATTCAATGTGTACACACATTTTATTAATTTGTTTAAGACGATTAAAAATTCAAGAATTCAGGAACAAAATTCCTGAGTTTGGATGAAATGTATCTCGTAGAATAAAAAAGACTGTCAAGAAGACGCAGCGAAATTCGATTTCCGTCTGAAGCCCATAAATGGTGATAGACCGGAAATGCCACGTCGTGTTTGTTTTGACAGTAATCGACCTTTTCGCATCGCTACTCGTAATACCAACAGAGACAATCGACATTTCCAATTCAAACTACAAGTAGGCTTGTCAACGACATTGGAAGATTGAAATTTGTACGTGATCGGCACGATTTGTCTCGTATCTCTCCTGTTTTACGTACCATTCCTAAGTATTTCGACACTCCTATAACGCGATTGATTCGTATCGTATTAAGAAAATCAGAATTAGTTGAAATCAGGAAATGCGTTTTATAAACCGCGTTATGATAAACATAGTAATAAGACAAATCAGATTAATTTGTACCACGTGATATGGAAATCATTGCTGCGTTATATAGGAACCGCACTATAAGAAATTCAGAAATAACACAAATTCAATGAATTCGTACCGCATTATATAGAATGTCAGAAATAAATAAATTGTACATAAATCAGACCTATATAAAAACTGCATTCTCAAAGTATCAAGTTGCGATTCATACGGTTAATAAATTATTATTATTTTAATAAATATTAAAATAAATTATTAGTTTAGTTTATAATTTTATTTTATGAATTATATATTATTGTCAATAAACCTAAATTCAAATATGTAAAAATCTATATATCCATTGCCATTTCTATTATAAAATTTAGACTAAAATAATTATTTCCAAAATAAATCTTAATTTAATACATACTAGTGACGTATCCTAATTTAATACGTTAAGTAAGAGGCATGATTGAGAAGGAAAGCCTGAGTGTGAAAAAGGGACGGAATGAATGGTTGAAATAAGGGTGCAAGGGCGCGGGCGTGTCAGTCCAAGTTAGTCTAAGACTAAAGTTAAAGACTAAAACAGTCCATTGGTCAGTCGAAGAATGTCCAAAGTCTAAAAGTTTTCAAAGACAGCATGTCAAAGTCTAAAGTCAATTTATAAGAGTCACTTTAACACGTTAAGTGCCGCGCCGGTACTCAGGGAACGATGCTAGATTTTCCATTTAGTCCCTACCGGTTCTCAGGAACCGGCCCAAATTAGAACCAAAAGGTGCTAAATTTTGGTATTAAATTCTTCGCCATCTTTGGACCTAACGTTTGGGGATTCCTATTATAACAATTGGAACAGTATCTCCGAGTTTTATAAACACTTTGCCCGCCGCCAGTGACCCACCTGGGCTTGAACGGAACAGCAAGCAAAACGGGCTAGGCACTTAACGTGTTAAAATAGGATTCTAATATATTAAAATTAAACGGTTTATTACTTTGTTTTATATAATTACCTTTTGGGCGTCTAACATGGCCCTTATTAAAATCTTTCCTATCATAAATTCTCTTATCCATCAATGTTATTCCATATTTCTTCCTATTTATATTTATTTCTGAAACAAATGTTTTATTCTCAAACACTCTTATGAAGCCGCTTCAGTTTTATCAGAATTCAGACATTGTTATCATGTGGTTTATACATGGAGGATACCACAGTTAGATTGTTTTATTAATTTAACCCATCGAATAAGTCCTGCCATAGATAAATTTTTCGAGCCATTTGAGTTATTGGAATGTTCTTGTACGAAAAACGCGTTATAGGAGAACGGTCCCAATTTTCGCACCGCGTTATATGGAAATCGCGGTAGAAAAACACCGTGTTATAGGACACTTGACTGTACCATCTGACTAAAAGATTTGTAATTCTCTCATACTATAATACTCCTAATGCACGAAATTGATAAGTTCACAGTGGGAAAAAATACGAGTTTCATTAGACTTAGCGTAATAGATTTACGAAGATAGGTTAGAAGGATTTTCGTTATTGGCTAGGTATGTCACAAATAGTTTTCAATAATCGTGAAGGTAGCCTAAGTTAAAAATCTAAGAAAAAATGAATTATTCACTCAGTTTGTGCTAAACTCATTTAATTTACTATGCAGAACTTACAAGGAGAGCAACAGACATGACTATATCTAAAATGCACAAAATAATATATATTACTATAATTTTAGCATAACTGATTTTGTGAAAAAATTACTCGACATAGGATCGAATATTGAACAAAAGAGCTTATAATCAACAAAATTTATCAATGTATCATATTTACTGTTAAATTTCTGTTCTTGTTATTAGGATATACATGACTATGCGATTTTTACAAACTTCTGCACCTAATTTTCTCATAATTGGCTCGATATCTACGGTTAATATTATAGATACGTTTGTTGTAGATATAGACGTATCACTCTGCCAAATTTCGTTGAAATCGATGTAAGCCATGTCTGATGCTTCCCTTGTAAGTTGAAGAGTGGCGCTGCAGTCGCGGCACTAGGGTAAGAACTCCGTTTCACTAGCTCCACGTATCCCCACTTTGTTTCATACAGAGGCACGTGTTCACATTGTAGTAATAATAGAATATTATTTTTGAAGAAATTATGGGACAAAGAACGATAGATTCCAATGCAGTATATAATTATTCTATAAAATTATACATTTCACTCGTCTCCTTTTAGTTACCTAGTAAAAATAAAGTACATAAAATTATTCAAAATTATTTGAAATTTTATTGATCGCAATCTTCAAAGGATATTTCATATTTTACTTTATTTGTAGAACATAGAGCAAATTAAGCTATCAAATAGTCTCCTCGTCTGTGGAATCTTAAACGCTAGTTTGTATCATAATAGCTCTTCCTACTTCTCTGAGATAGTACGATAAATAACCCGGATCTTGGCGAGAACTGCAACAAATCTTTGCTAGAAACCGCACATGCAAGTCCATTGCACAATTAAACTACCTTGCTATATAACAATATTGCACCATTTACAATTACTGATAGTAGTAAAGAATACATTATTCAAGAACTCACAGACACCAAGATGGATCAAACAACAATAGAATGAAGCACGCCTAGTATTAAGTTTAAACAAAAGAGGGTACATCGTATGATTATACAACACAAATTTGTATAATGAGATGCAAAAATTATGTAAAATGAGGATCCCTATACTACTGTTATTAGCGAGGCCATAAATTAAAATATTAGATAATGAAATCAAATGTATGACTTTAACACTAGAACTATTATTTCGTAACATGTACGTAATGGCAGTGGTATAATTAACATAAGTACATGTATATAATTACGTTCGTATTTTAATAAAAGCCAAAATCAATTTTAAGAAAAATAATTACAAGTTTTCGATTCGAATAAAAATACAGAGTGGAATCAGTTATCCTAATTAGTTTGGTATTTCTAGTATTAATATGCCTCATAGTAAACATTCACAAGGAAAATTGCAGAAATGATCAATTAATCTTTGAAAAGTGGTGATTGGAAATTAATAACAATATATTCTATCTGTTAATGATTGAAATGATTGCAATTTGCACAAAAAATTTGATATTTTTTGGTCACAAAGACAACCTCAAAACAACGTCAAAACTGCTTCGAAAATGGAAAAAGTGACATTTTTTATCATTTTTTACCTTTATGATATTTTAACAGTATAACAAGATAATAATATAACGTAATAATTATATTAATATAGAATAACCTATAAATATACAGGTTGTCCCACCTAAATATAATTATTTAAATATCTCCTTTTGTGATAATATATAAAATATTTTGTATGCAATTTAATTGGTATCAAAAGACTAATACACTATAAAAATTTGTTGTATCAAGTTTATTACACATACAATACACATTTTAATCTGTAATATCCTTTGAGTAATTCTTGTAGAATTTACTTTATTATACGAAGTATTCGAATTTTCGAATAGGAATACATAAAAACAAAAAAATAAAATGTGAAAAGAGAAAAATAATTGAAATTTTTAAAAGGAAGATATTTAAAACCTGAAAAAAATTAATTAGACCTGAAATTATTATGAAGAAATTATTATTATTAAGAAATTATTGTGAAATTATTTAAGGGCGAGTGGTGTGGGTGGGTGGCCAACTTCAATCTCACTTTGGACTCTCCTCCCTCCGATCACGTCGAAAATTTGAATACTTCTTCCGAGGTCATTAACAACAAGTATAATAATTTACAAACTTTTTGTAAATTATATGTAAATTTTAATATAAGTACTTTATAATTTCGAGTAATAGCCAATAATTTATTATTTTTTTCACTTTCATTACAAATTTATGTTGTGAACAATTTATTATTAACGATATTAATTTGTTACTAATAATAAATTTGATTATTTACACATTTTTTACAAACTATATCTACATTCACACTTCTATAGAAAAAATTTCCATGATACAATCCATGAAACATAGTAATTCGAAGATTTTATGCTATAAAGTCAACGGTATTCTCCGTCAAATTTTCAAAACTGTAAATAAGATATGCAAATTAATTGTAAGACGTAGAATTATTTTACCTCGATATTCCACGCGTCGTTGGGCAATTTTAAATTTGAGATATTAATTAACAACGATCTTTAGATTCGAATTAAATGGCGACTGAGAGTCGCCTCTCGAGTGCAAAGGGTTAAGAGATACGACATATATAGATGGTTACCTTTAAATAGGACACTTTATATAATTATAGATATACATATATACGTGTTATACACGATCTTATACCTATGAAGACAAAGACTAAGAAGACGTGAAGCTCGCGTAGCGAACACGCGTTGAAATTCATCACAATTGAAAACAACGTGAGATGAAATAACGTAAGTCAAGAGATTAAAGGAGAATATCATGCTAGTGAGATAACTCGTAATGCAATTTAGTCTTACGGTGTCAGTAGCTAAGTATAGACGTGCCTACGCGTTTACTGTGTACAAAATGGCTCCATTGGACGTGCCTAAGTCTACGAGGTTATGCTCAGCCAATGTACTACACTGTTAATATTATATACTCAGCTAACCGATATTTTATATTGAACCTATGGTTAGTTATAACGTGAAAATATCATCTGAAACCAATTCCCTGTGCTTCTAAAATACGATATATTATGCTTTCCTTATTTATGTTTCATAAAAGTAATATTTTAACGAACTTTGCAGCTGAAACATATTTGTAAGGTGTAAATATTATACAGTATAGACGTCTATAAACTTATTAGAGCAATTAGGAAGAATTATGTAATGACACTTGGTGAATTTCAATCTTGCTAACAATAGTTTCCAATGTGATGATAAATTTTCAAAGTAGTAACGTCTACAATAAATAAATATAAATACAGATATAGATAATATATACTGTATTCAGTCAAGACATAACAGGAGGTGGAAAGAAATAGAACTCCATATACAATTACCAACATATCTACAGATTGCAGGGAAAGATGATACAAAAGGTAGAAGCAAGTGTCAGATGTGGAAACATGGAAGATGACAACAGATATTGGGAAAGTGAGGCAAGGAGAACATGTATACTCTACAAAGAAAAGACAGGGACATTATGGTACATGTTTAAAGAATGCAAAGAATTAAACAGAGTAGACTTCAACATGTAAGAAATAATAGAGGAATACACAGAAGAAGTCGTAGAATGGTGTAGGGTATTAGATAGGAAAAGAAAAGAGCCTAACAACGGAATAATAATGTATAAAGTCGGAACAGTAAGATAATGCAATAAGAGGGCAGAAAGGGAAAGAACAAAGGCACACAAGAACAGGACTGCATGTGCGTATGAGTACGTGATTTTGTGACAAAAGCATTACGACGTGTGTGACACGTCTTTCCAGCGCAAGTGGTTAACACTTTGACTGCCACATTGGTCATATATGACCGGCCACGGTTTCTCCTGTAACGTCACGGTGGTCATTGGTGACCGGAGCGCTTGAACTACTTACAATTGTAAAAATTGAATGAAAATTGACAATTAGGTTAAGTTAGGCTAGGACAGTTAGTTGACTGTCAAGCATTACTAAGGTGTCACCGGTGGTCACCCGTAACTGCCAATAAAATAAACGCCCCACTGGGTAAGAATGTTGCCTTATATCACCAATTTATTATTATTTTGCCATTATATGCTTTGAATAATAAAAATACTCCCGTGGCGTCCTGAACGAAACATGTGATTTCGTCGTGGCAGTCAAAGGGTTAACGTATATTTTATATATCTTGGGATATCATATCTGACTAAAGATTGTATTGTGCCGTGTATTATAGTATAAACCCAATTTAAATATCTAATTAGCCAACTTTCTATATCTCTTGACAGTAATACAAAATTAAGGCGAAAAATATAATTCATATTTTTGTTGCAATGGTTGTGATAATAGTTAATGAAAAATCTTGCTTTTTCTATTTTTAGAACGGATACATGGTAGTCGTCATACCACCGGATATAATGGACGATAAGTCTGCTGATGGCGCGGTAACTCACGAAGGTGGAGAAGTAACGTTAAAGTGCGTTGCAACAGGTTCACCAAAGCCCACTGTCACATGGAAACGAGAAGATGGACAGAACATTGTTATTAGGAAGGACGGAAAAAAACAACGTAAGGCATTTTTTCAAATTAATAATTTATATTTAAATTAATTATCAGCGGTGTTATATTTTATAGTTAAAATATAACAATAATTTATTTGATGGAGGAAAATATTTTTTTATCAATAAAAGTAAACAAAGAGGTTAAATAGATAAAAATTTAAAAATAACGACAATACATTTTTATTTTCAGTGTTGGAAACCTATGTAGGTGAAACTTTAGTGCTGTCTGGAGTTCTTCGACAAGAAATGGGCACGTACCTTTGCATAGCCAGCAACAATGTGCCTCCAACGGTCAGCAAACGTTACTCCGTGCAAGTTCACTGTATGTATTATCAACTAATTATCATATAGTTGTTAAGTGTAATTATTTGCAAGAATTTAATACCAATATAATCTTGATACCAGTATTATAGCTGCGAAACAGATATAATACTGAAATTGTTTATAATTGAAATCATTTATACCTAATTCATGACCTAAAATCGTTATGGTATCGAAACCGATCTGATATCAAAATCGATTATTTCCAAAATTGACTGTCACCAAAATATCAAAATTGATATGGTATGGAAACCGATAAAATATCAAAATCGATTATTTCCAAAATCATCAAAATATCAAAACCGGTATAGCATCGAAACCGATATACTACCTAAATCGACTATCGTCAAAACACTAAAATTGATATGGTATCAAAGTCGATACGTTACCGAAAATCGAAATGAATGTTGATATTATGGTTATTGATAACAATAAAGAATTCCGTTCATTCATATTGGATAACATAACCACAATTAAATTTCTGTTATCGATAATTATTACGATACCCAAAAAAGAAATTTAATACTTCATAATGGATAGTTATATCTGGAATGGTTAAAAATTAATAATTTTAGTAATTTCATTTTTTGAGCACTTTCTTTGAGATTTAGCGATAATTAACTTCCACTGAAAGATTGCCTCTCACGCTAACAGGGAACTGTTTTTGATGCCTTGACTGCAAGCTTGCATACCGTTTGCAAACACTAAATAATATCAAGATATTCTAACGCTAACAACAAGCATCAAAACAAACTAGATTTGTAAATATTTCAATTTCTACACGTAACAAGTTTTGATGGTTGTATAAATATTTTTTCAGATAAATCCTGTGTTTGTTTATTTTAATCCCTGTTTTTGTTATGCCGAATTTTTGTTTTATAATAAATTATCGTTTTGTAATAAAATTTGTGTCAACCAACTAAAGCTTATTGTTAACTCATAAGAAATAGGACATATGTAATTCACTATATGCAGGACTGGTGTGACCTTTTGCGGGGCCAGGTTCAAAAATTTTGCGGAACTAGAATATGCATTTAAATCGAAGATCGTATCGGTAAATGGTATGGTACCATCATTCTCTAAAATGTTAATCAAAATCGGTGTTTTCTAATTGGGTGATTTGCTTAACACCTAATATCTTCCGCACCTGTGTTGCAGTCGTATCAACGTTTAATGTCAACGTTTAATGTCAACGTTTAGAACACGCTACAACGAAATATTTCAGTGCAAAGATGGGAGAGAAAATCTTGCACTCGTGTCAGTGTACAGCAAGCTGTACCATATCCAATTAATCCATAATCGATTAATGGATTATGCAATTGAATTTTCTACACACACCCGAATATTCAATCTACTATACAGGGAGTCTTGCAAAATGTCTGATGAATTTTTGTAGACCGCGGGGCCTTTCAAAACGCGGGGCCGGGTTCCAGTGAACGCACTAAACTTGCCTCGCGCCGGCCCTGACTGTATGCACATACATGTATTGTTTCGGCATGGACCTTTTTCCTTCTTTTCCTTTTAAACCTTATTTCCAAATTAATCCACCCATGCCTCGCTGCTGCGTTGATGTTATCAATCAATCTTGCTAGGGGCATGACTACGAAATATTAATAGTAATTTAGAAAAGAAAACATGTTACATCTATTATATTATAAAATGAAGTATAGATTTCTACTGTAAAATAAACTTTTTAACGATCAAATTTAACGATTTTATAAATACGTGAACACGATATATAAAAATAATTAGGAAAATAAGTAAATAAAATAAATTAGAAAGATTTAATAAATAAGTAAAATTAAATAAATGAATAAACAATATAGATAAGAAAAATGAAATAAATGAGTAGACAATGAAAAATGATATTTTATACAGTTTAATGTTTTCCTTCAAATTTTATTATCCGTGAACAAAAATAATTGTTTTCATTAAAAAATGAAAAATCAAGCTTTGAGTATATCATAGATATTCAATATATGAGATTGCTTTCTAAGCGAATATTTATACTAAAAATAAGAAAAAAGACTGCAAATAATCCAAAAGCTGAATTACGTAAGAATAGAATATTATTCTTTTTTTTCTTCTTTATGGATATTTTCAGTTATCCCAACAACTAAGTTATTAACAATAAAATCCGATGTATTTAGTTTAAATTTTTGGTTTTCGATAACATTTTACATTTATATCTATTCGATATTTTCGTACTTATTCAATATTTTTTGAAATTTTTAATTTTTTAATTTTGGGAAATCAGAAGTCTGAATTGCTTTATTTTGAAAGTTCAAAAGTTCTGTATTCATGTTAAAAGTGATGCGTTAATACAGGTCTATGAAAATTATTATAATATTTTATCATTTTATTTTACTACTTAAAAAACAATTTACACGCCAATATTATAAATTATTATTAATTACTTAACCAACAAGAATTCCTTGTAATCAATTTTAATTATTTATGCAAAACATAGAAAGATATAAAAATATTTTACAAGATGTCATCTTTCAACTAAATATATAAAATTATTCAAAATTATTTATATATATATATATATATATATATTTATATTTATATTTATATTTCCATTTCTGAAAGCAACTATTAAAAATTATGAAATATATAAAATTATTAAAGAAATATATATATATTTTTTTATTTATAAAGGTGTATTACTAGAAAATTAAATCAAAATGAACAGATGTAAATTTTCAGAACAATATTTTACAAGATAACATTTTTTTAGAATATTTTTCAAATTTTCAAAATATTTTACAAGATGTCATCTTTCAACTAAATATACAAAATTATTAAAACAGTCTATCAGTACATTCAAATATTTTCCACTGTACTTTAAACATTATTAAATATTTTCAATTCTGTTAATCAATTATATCAATAATTATATCAATCTTTACTGTAACTGCTTGAAAATATTTTATTCCGTTTTTTTCCTTTATGAATTCCAACCTTAAATATTAAAATATTTTGCATTATAAATATAAGACAAAGCGACAAGTATAACAGAACTCCGTAATCCTTCTTATATGCCTTTTGTTCTCTTACTACGAAGAAATTTCTTTCAAGTTATTTGTCAGCTTACTTCCAGCTGCTGAAACATTTCCATTTCTTTAAAACTCTCTCAATTTCCTAAATTTCCTTCTCTTCACGTAGTGAATAAATAACTCTTTTGACTACATAGCTGGTAGAAATCCCTTTCTATCATTCGAAACATCGAACACCCCGATTGCAGCTTACCTGTATTAAGGACCTCTCACCTTTCTCCGACACTCGTCAAAAGCACCACGAATCCCGCTTCAAACCTCTTCTACGGATAGCTTGGAATTTAATTTAATTATAAAGTTAATTCTAATCCAACCAATCGTCGATTTTTATTGTCCCTACTTTGAAATAAGTAAAAACCAGTTAACTTTAATTTTTTGAAGAATATACATTGTTCCCTGACAAAAATTAAAAGAAAAAATAATCGTTTGAAAAGTATACAATCTTTACATTTTTATTTTTTGAGAAATATTGCTTAAAAATGAAAGTTGTATAGGACTATTTTATACATCAACAATTATATATATATTAAAACAGTTTTTTTGAGTATATTTTTAGAAAAATCACAATTAATATTAAATTGAATAAATTATAGAAAATCCTTGTAACAAAATAAGGAAAATATTTTTATATTTTATTATATATTTTGTCATATTAAATCATGTTATCTTATATATTGTTTGAATTATGCAGTAACTAATAGTATAATTAAAAAGTGAGTAATTCTACATGAAAACGTAAACCGAAAATTTTAATATAAATTTTTATAAATTTAAATTTATTCTATAAATTTTTATAGCATAAATTTTGGTCGTACGAGGCTTTGTTTTTAAGAAAATCGGCTTTAAATATTTATTGGGTGTGCGTGCATTTAAATATAAATTACCACTATGTATTACCATATCTTTTCTTCAACAAATAGTGTTTTATAAATTTTCAAGATACAATAAATTGCAATTCCCTTAATTTTTGACTCGAATATTGACTTTGGTATTTTACTATAAATATTTTCCTTACAAGTATGTAATTAAAAAATTTCCAGATCACATCTTATACATATCTCAGTATACAAAATAAGTTTGTACATATTTACACGCCAAAGTTTTTAAGTAACTATCTTATTTTTCAACTTTTAACCAGTAACTCTCAAGATTGTTGAAAATTTTTAATTAAATTTTTACCTTCATTTTGTTCTTATTGCCAATACTTAAACTCTACAATTTTTCACTATCTTCTACTAATTTTTAATTTTTAATTATAACTTTTTGTCATTAATGTTTCAATTAGCTATCTTTTGTAAAATAGTTTGAAACACAAAAAGATATCTTCATCCTATTATGTCTTAACAACTTTTAGATATTCGTGATTCATAATAATAACGCTAGCATTTGTTGAAAATGAAAGGATAAATATTCTATATTTGTATAAATATTTTTTTGTTATTTTAACAACGCCTTGAGAAAATCTGCAATATTCCATATATTGTAGGAATTATTAAAGATAATAATAGGATTCCTTTTTCGTGAGGCATTTAATGGTTCAGAACGGCCATTCATAGGATGCATGAAGTACCACTTGAGAGGAACCGCGAATGTTGCCCTTCTACTTCGTCATATAGAATAGCACGTACAGTCGGTCGCAAAAATATTCGAGCAAGCGTATGATTTGTCTTTTACGCTCTGTATTTTGAATATGTTATGCCTTTGCAAAGTGCAAAAAATATATTACGTTTTATCCGAGTGTAGCTAATATAAAATACAACAATATGGAGTATCATATTTATGCTAATGATAAGAAAGAAAATATGTTGAGAAATCGGAATGAAAAACTAAATTTCACGCGTGTCCTAATATTTTTGCGACCAACTGTAGATATTTATATTTCTTCATAACTCGCTCAAACACAAACGATGTTTATTTCAAAACCATAAATTATCGAAGGAATGGTTAATTTTTATATAAGCTATTTTAAAGACTGGAGAAAAATTAATATTATAATTTTCATTATATCTATATCGTGTCTTTTATAATGTTTACTATCGTATAATACTAAATACTCTTAATATGTATTTTATTTACTTAAATTTTCAAATGCAGAATTATTAATATTTTGCATTAAAAATTGAGGAATTTAATATTTCTACTATAAGCTGTAGCTTTAAAATAATAATTTTATATAACTATGGAACTAAACACAAAAATCAAAAGTGTAAGATCTGGTATATACACACATATGTCATATCATTCAAAGGACTGCATCTATGTGTACAGTCTACCATAAATATATTTGAAAATAATTAGAAGTTCTTCATACTCTCATTGTTGCATCGTTATATTTAAATTTATAGTGATATATTTTTTACTTACATTATATTGGTAATATACTTTTATTTACTATACTTTCATTATAGTACGTTTATTATAATATATGCTTAAACACGGTATATCTTTATTTTAGTATATTATACTGTTATACTTTTAGATATTATTATTCATGTTATATCTGTACTTATATTATGTATATTATTATCATTGTTATTGTATAATATTACTTACATTATATCTTTTTATATTCGTTGCAGTCAAGTTGTGCACGTATCTTAAAATTTTTGGTACTGACTGTATACGCGCAGGCGCAGAATTTCAATCTCAAAAATTATACCACGAATAAAAAAGTATAATTTACACTTTTTATTAATGTTTGCATAAAATACTACGTCCTATCTTCTTGTCATTTTCAAATAATAAAAATTGAAATAATAAATATAATAAATAAATATCAAATAAAATAAAGATTAAAGAAATTAATAATTAAAGTGACATTTATTCTACTATTTCTATTGAATAATTTCTAGAAATTCATTACCATACTTAGGTTTACTAACGATAAGTAGTCATATGCGATATTTCTTTTTAGCAGCTTCTTTTTGTGTAATATAAAAAAATATTTTTATTTCAGTCCGGCCTGTTGTAAAAGTACCAAATCAACTACTAGGAGCACCAATTGATAGTAATGTTCTTCTTCAGTGCCTAGTTGAAGCTTCTCCACAAGCATTAAATACTTGGCATCACAGTACAGGTAATAAATACTTCGTATACTTAAATATTTAAATTATGTTTTAGTTTTATATCTATGCCTAATTAATAAGAAAGCGATGAAGACACATTTTCATGTTATCTTTACATTTACATCAGAAAATTTTATTACCAAAGTATTTAATTAAAGTATTTAATTAATGAAATCTACTCGCAAAATTAATTATTATAGAATACAAATATATTTTTTAAGATTTTCAACTGAAAGTCAAATTTGCAAAATAAAAATACATTCTATAGTTTCAAATTCCAAAAATGATTTTTGCAATATAGAAAGCCTTACACAAAAGAATATTTTTGCCACGATTAAAACGAATAAAATGCAATTCAAATGTTCAAAAGTTTCGAATACAAAAATTAATTTGTAAAACAACACACTTGCATGTATCATTACAAGGAGCTAACATAACCTATGGTACGATTGAAAACCTAACCATTTTTGAGAAAAATAGAATTTTAATTTCATTTGAGAAGTTGGTCATGTAACAAATAAATGATTTCCAAACATGCATATCAATTCTTATAGTCCAGTTTGTGTTATAATAATTTAATCAATAAAATTAAAGTTCACAAGTACAAGCCTAATTCAGTTCAGCTCACTATGTTTAATTCGGATTATCGGATTATACATTTATATTTACATTACTGCCACCTTTCTCCTTATACAGAATGATCGATAACTGGTAATACAACCAATTATATTATCGACCACCTGAAACCAATCTATATGATGAAAATTAATCACGAATCTATGCATGTCGCTAACGAAAAGTGTCGCCATCTATCGTAATTTTATAAGCATAAAAGAGAACCCACAGGGTATATAGAACCCTGATCACGTTGATGCACACGAAGCATTTTTTAAGTGTCTACCACTATGCCAAACACTGAATGGACTTTAAGTTTACGACTTTCCCCACCAGCGAAATTATGGTACGATAAGGTATTCTTTGTTATAAGCCAACTATTCGAGATGACCTTTTCAACGAGAAGGTTGTCGACCTCTAGCCTACATAGTTTATTCGTAAGTGTATCTATAGGTTCACACATAACCTATACATGTAGTTATTAATTTTAAAAAACAGATATCATTTAAATTCCTTAAATTTAGAAGAAAATTAAAGAAAAAACTAGGACTGGTTTAACTTTTTAAAATTTTAAACTAAAATTCTCTAAAAGGATTTAAAAGGTTGTTAATTATTTTAGTGTTACGTATATGAAATAAAACTCATTAGTAAGAAATAACGAAAGAATGTTTATGTATTTACGATAAAAAACTTGCTTCCTATATTTTTCTTCCAAATATGATCAAAAATAAGGTTTTCTGCAAACTGTGCATTCCTTGAAATGCTGGATTTTTTACGAGAATCTTTATCGCGTTTTTCAAGTTTTCATAACATACATTGCGTGGCTGCTTGTGCAATTTTCTACTTTTCATCTATGGCTCTTTAATGAAAGGTGGGGAAAGAAAAAGAAAGATAAGGAGGAATGAGCAAAGCTGTACTTTATTCAAAGTTTACTGGTAGAATTATCAGTAATGCTACCTAACAGGTCTTAGATCTCGAGATAGTAGAAATCAAGTTGGAAGATGTATTTGGATGAAAGGTTAGGTGAAAACTTTCGAAATTATATTTGGTATAAGTATCCCTCTAGTGGTGAGTGAAAGAGGTATAGAGTTTGTATAACAGTTGTAAGTTCTACCTGTAACTGCAACGTCAGGTTAGAAACTTAATAACAGAGAATCATTAACTATATCCATTTGTTATCATATGTATAATAAATTTAATTAAACTCCATTATATGTTTGTCTATCTTTTGTATTTTCTCTATTATACAAGTTTTAATAAAAACGTCACTTTTCTGACAAATATAATCCGTCTCATTCTTGTGAATTTTTCTTTCAGAAAAAAATGATTTTATATTTTAAAAAATCTGGTTATTCTTGTACAATATTGTTTCTCATATATTACAAATCAAATAAAAAATACCAAGTAGAGATATGAAGATATAAACGTAATAATAAATAATAAAATTGTTTGTGGTTATGTAATTTTTTCCTAGTTGAAAAATTGAAAAAGCAAATTTAGTAAAAAAATAAGACGTTTTACAAACAATGCTTAAACTTACTAATAACTTTATTAATAAACAATCCAAAAAATGCGATACTTCATTAATAGAAAAAATATTTCCTTGTAAAGCTACCCCTTTCAGCAATTAGAATTCAATTTCTTTCCCTGATATACAGTGTTACCTATTAATACTTAAGTGTCGTTTTCAAGCTATTCTAGTATATTTCAATAATGTCACGTGAAATATTAAAGAATAAACTAGCAAAAAAATTTGTTTGTTTGCAACTTATACGTCGCAATTACTTTTTTACAATAGCACAGCTGATATATAAATCTTGTCTATGACAAGTATCCAATATCCGCCACCAGAGGGATACGTACGGAAGCATAAATTTGACTTTCTTGAAGTTTTTACTTCGCGTAACATCACGTTGAAGATTCGAACGAAAACACTTTTCATATAAGGCATATTTTAGAATTTATTCGAGATGTACAAATTCCACAATCCAGTCTGTATAATAATTTTAAAGAAAGATTAAAATGATATATTGTAACACCAAAATCAAATTATACATCGAATTGTAATATACGAGGTAACCTTATATTTTATTTTTACAAAGTGATTAAAACAAACTTAACTTGTTATCGTGTTGGAATTTTGATTGAACTATAATAGCTTGTACACAGGTATTGTATGAATACTATATGGCCTAACAGGATAACATTTAATGTCATTACACATAGTAAACCACCGATTATCCGAATGTCGGTTATCGGAAACACTGATTATCCGAATATCGATTACACAAAAGATCGATTATCAGAACACAGGATGAATCACGTGTATCTTGAAACAGATAACTACAATCTTCCTTTTAGGATATATCTACGTGTTACTAAATTAATTGTAGCATTGAGAAACACGTAATTTACCACTCCTACACATGTTCAGAGTAAATTGCAATATTGTAAATTACAATAGAAATCACACTGAAATCAAATTTAGTAAAATTTTATTCATCTTTTGTATACATCTTCAAAATTAATTACATGATAGTCCATAGTATTTTTCGGTTTTGTTCCACTAATAATTATAAATATTATAAAAAATCTTTGTAATAATGCCTTGAAAATTAACTTAAATTTGGAGGTAAATGAGCTAATTTTGAAAAATCTTTCAAGAAATCCTAGATATCTTTTTCCTTCATTGATATTTATTTATTTGTTTATTATCGGTCAAAAGGCCCTTTTTTCTACAATACTTCAGAAGCTAATTGTAGGAAAGCAAAATATTTTTAATACCACGTCTAAAAGTTAACAAAGAACTAAGCAAATTAATCGATATTCATTTATATTACTCAGTTACATGCAAAGAAATACGATTGATATAATTATACTCAAAAATTAATATTTACAACTAATTTTATGCCGTAAGTAAGTACTATTCAACGCAGTCGTATTGTTCAAATGTTACATTGAAAAATGTTGCTATTTTGTCACGGGATTAACTAACGATGCGTTTGGATTATTTGCTAATGCCATCTATTGGTAATTAAGGTAACTAGAGCGCAATCGTGTCATCTAGCGTTCTTCAGCGTAAACTGAAATAAATTGCAGAGTTGATATTTTCCGCTAAGATTTTTTCAATGATTTTTACAATTAGTACACAAACAATTAAAATAAAAATATAAACAATAAACTACAAAATAAAAAATACTGTAATATTTTTGTTTCTCGTGCAGGTAGAAAGTTGTCGCCCAATGCAAAATATTCGATAACAGAGTACGCATTGAATGAGTACTCTTGGCAAATGAATCTTACTATCAATTCTCTGAAAAAAACGGATTTTGGAGAATACATTTGTTCGTCTTTAAATGCTTTTGGAAATGCTACTGGTATGATTCATTTACGAGGTAAGTGTTCATAAAATATATTTATATCATACTAAATAGAACTACTGATTTCATACTGTTCAATAACTGATATTCGAAAAATGATGATCCTTGCAAGTTAAAGAACAAAAATCATGAAATATTTTAAAACTTTTTTGTACTTATATTACATATCATTATGTTACTTTTAAAAAAAATCTTTCTTTTAAAAAATTCACTTATTTTTCAAACATGTTAATAATAATTTTGCGATATACATATATTATCCAATAAACAACATTATTCTTTTTTTGTGTAATCAAAAATATTTTTTTTCATTTTTCGAGTACTGTAAAGAAATTTCTTAAATGTGCAATCATTAGAGAGAAAAAAATTATTAAATAAAAAAATATGATAATCATCATTGGTGCTTACTATAGAATATCAAAATATCGCCTTTTATAACATATTTAAAAATTGTTTAAATCGATGGGTGTAAATAAACTGTGAAAATAAGTCATAACGTTAGATGTAACATTTACTTAAAATAACAATTAATAGAAATATAAATTCAATAAAATATTTATTACAATTTTATGAGGTGCTTAAAAAGTAATTAAAAGTAAAGTTTAAAAATAATAGTTAAAAAGTAAAAAGTAAAAATTTTTTCTCTAAACTTGATAAAACAATATGTTTATTCCATCTTATACTTTTTCTGCTGAATGATGATAAGTAGCTATTAATTATAGATGGAGACATTAGTGTATATTTAGCAACATGTAGCAGAAATTTTGAAATTACTTTAATTTAGAATAATGTTCATTGAATTCAACTTAGTTATTTAATTTTGATGGATTTCTAAGTATACTTGTAAATGGTATAAAACCTTGTCGCCATCTATGAGCATAGTAAACAATTAATGCTTTTCAAAGCATCATTACAGTCTTCTGGAACATATATGGCAAAACGCCAAAATAAAACTACTATATCATGTATTACAATTAATTCTTTTTACATCTATCATATTTTTTAAATAAAAAATTTTTTAAATTCAATAACTTAAAATAATTAATATATTTCACGCACTTCTATTAACTACTAAAAGAGCAAGTAACGATGTACAGTATGAAATAATTATTTAAAACATTGTAAAAGTTTATATAGTACCTTAAATATTGCTTTTTACACAGATTGAAAGAAAACTGTATACACACTAATTACTGTTACATAATAAAAAGAAATAAAATTCTAGAAACTATATTTTCTATTTCGATCCACGACACATATAATAAATTTATATAAAAACAAATTAACATTTAGCAAATAAAATTATCCAAAAAAATCAAATTTTAAACGAATTTCTCTTTTCCAATTTTTATGTAGCAAAATTTTTAAATTGTTAAATTCTTAAAGTCTTGAAATCTAAATTCTCAAAATTCCAAAATAATCACAAAAAAATTCGCAGATTAAAAAAGAAAATGCCCCTATTAAAATACTCTTATTCCAAAAAATATAATTTTATTGAGCTGTTTTCGCCTCTTCAATATCGACAAATGTCAAAAATTTAAAAAGAAAAAAAAATGACCTACCATCTACAGCTTAAGAGTTATATCAAACAGCTCTTACCGTGGAACACCCTGTATATACATTATATATTTATTTGAAATCATTATATAATTAAATTACACTGTCAATAAACGTATAATTAACAGTCACTATTTATATAAAAATTTGACATTTGTACGATAGAACTTATTATCATATATCTAATTAATTCTTTTCTTTTTTGGCCCAGAATTAGACATTGTTGCAAAAACAACACCCAGTATCTTCGTGAAAAATACCGACCTGAAACCTCGAAAGAAACCTATAACAAAAGGCAGAAAGGAGAATAGCAATAGCGGTGGCAGAAGACTCCATTTAGGAAGTTCCGACGATTTCGATTCTTCTGGAAACGATGACGACCTTAGTACTACACAGATCATGGCTGGTAGTACACTTCATGAAGGCCATAGAACAGAAAGACCATTGGTATTACCATCGTTATTTCCCCCATCGGTGATTATGAACACTGCTAACTCTAGGCATCATTTACCGATCACGCTTTTTTCGTTATTCATCTTAACTATGATACTAATTCCTTAAAATATGCATCCTCATAAAAACAAATTTAACAACGAAATTGGTATCAATGAAGATTCAAAACGATTCGGGAATAAGGTAGGGGATAATAATTATATTTGATTCATTCCTTGTAATATATGATTAAGGAAACGTGCTTATATTATGATCAAAAATGTAGCATTGCTTTTTACAATTGGTACACATGACACAGAGAGAAATTACTCATATTTGATTGCAAAGTTTTATTTATATTATATTACTTACCAATGATTAATTAAATGTAAATTAAACGATATTAAAGTTTATATTCGTCTATGTATTTTAATAAAAGAAACATAAGGAAATAAGTTATTCATTTGATACTATTCAAAACTCTAAAATTAATTTTTAATATTAAATCAATTTTAATTTTAATATTTTTGTTACCCTAAAAATGATCTTTAACTTTGATATTTTTATATATTTAAATATATAACAATTATTACATAACAGTTATTAATTATCTTTATTAAAACTTCTTATATTTTCTTTTTAAAAATCTAAAAAGTCACAGTCGCTTATGAAAAAGGAAAATGCAAGCTATTGATACAAACTATATTTTAAAGTATTATACTATTGTAGTATTAAAGGTTCCTAGCGCATAAAACACGTAAAAAACTATCTATTGAAAAATTAATACACTGCATAAACACAATTTTCTTTTGTTGTGCCTGTCTTCCAATTACCTATAGCCATTTTCTGTTTTTTTCAATAGTAACTAAGAGAGTAAAGCCTAAATATAAAAATATGATATATTTATTTTTACTCATGTAAAATCAATTCTGACATGAATCTTTCCAAACAAAATTATTTTTAAAGCATTTATTAGGCATGCAAAAAATAACATTTTATACACAATTAAAAATGAAAACTATGCTTTTGTAGAATTTATAGAATACTATTCAATAAGAGAAATTTTACCCATTAATTTCCATTATTTACAATTCATTATTCATGAATATTATTCAATTGCTCAATTTTGATGAAATTATTGAGTAAAAGTAAAAATTTAAATTATTACATACCAAAATTATACAAACTTACACAATATCTGAACTTGATTATATTATTAAAATACTTTAATTAAAAATGAAATTTAAATTAACTTTACCTGTTTCAGTGTTAACTTCAGAAAATGTCAATAAATAAATAGCATTGCAATATAATTAATTTTATATATGTATACTTATTTGTATAAGTGCAAATATCAGTATTTGCATAAAAAGTAAATGCTTTAAAAATCGATTAATACGCAGTTTGAGGTTATTTTCTTAACACTCTTTATTAATATAGAATAATAATTTCATAAACAATATTAAAATGGAATTAGTATGCTCTCAAAGCTATATCGTTAATAGTTTTTTTATAATGCATTATATTAAGAAGAATAACGTACCAATGCAAAGAGCAAAGTAACATATTTTGATAAATTAAGTTAATAAGCTTCGAAAAATGTTCCCGATCGTTTAAGAAAACTACAATTTTGATGCAATTTGATTAAATAGTAATAATAATTGCTTTATAAAACTGGTTACTCATCAACGTTTACAATGAAATTGAAGTTTAGAAAAGAACAGTCAATGGAGACTAAATTCTTATAGAGGCAAAAAAAATATAGGTCTTCCTTTCATTCGACGTAACAAAGGCGAATATATACATACATATATATTTAGATTTAACGAGATATAGTTATTGCGGCGCGACCAACGTGAGAGCGTTTCTCTTAACGAAGTATTGTAAATATATGAGTGGTGTTCATGAATTTCAATTCATACACCAACTAGATTTCAACTGCGTGTAAGTCAACAACCGATTACACGAATTCTAGATAAATGGTAAGTTAACAATTGCATTAAATTAAAAAATCGTATTAAGTTTAAATTGATATATCCTATCTATGAAATTCAAAATTATTACTATAAACATTTTGTATCATGTAGTTTCTGTTGTTATTTGTCACATAAAATTATAAATTTTTTTACATTCTACTCTGTGTATCATGTACAAAAGTTAAAATAATACTATAACTCTTTATGAAGACTTTCCAAAATTATTCTTGCTGCATAACAAATTTTATATTTTCATCATTTGAACATGAGGTAGATGATTTCTATCATAATTTGTACAACATATAAATTCTATTATGACCCAATGCAATACAGAATACGTATCATATATTCAAAGATGTATGATTATTATTTCAAAAATATCTTCCTAAATGTAAAAAGTTATAATGGTTTCGCGACGCGACTAGTATCTCGAGTTTTATATCGAAACAAAGAGATGCAAAAGTAATTTTATAAAAATTATCTGTTAATTTTTTATTTCAATGATACATTTTCTAATTGATCATTAAACACTTATTCATTTTATTAAACATTAAATACAATTGTAAAAAGATGCAAAAATATCAAAATATTGCATAACAATCTTTTAACAAATATGTAAAAGAAACGAAGTACATTCAAGTACATAATAAAGTGGAACATATGTATTGTAAACCATTTAATTTTATTTTACCATATCTGTCACTTAATATATATTTTTATTGTATTAAAAAACTATGATTATATAAAATAGTAGAAATATTAGTTACTGCTTCTGAAGGAAAATTTTTTCATAAAATTTTTCATTGCATTTAGCTCAAAAAAGAAATGAATGTGACAAAATATAAGCTTCCATATTAATTAAATACAGAGATTTTGAATCCAAGTTAGATAAAAACTGATTGAAGATTCTCTAAAACTATAAAATAACTTAGAAACTGTATTTTCAAAGATATTTGAAAAAGATCAGTCATGTGTATATAATCATATGCATTTCCAATATTTTAGACAAATTTTCTTATATTATATAAGGAACTACAAAAATAAAAAATTATGGAATATATTTCTAAATTTGTGATTGTTAAATAAGCATCTATAACATTTACATTACTTGGTTTAAATTATATAAACATTTCAATTTTATTTAAATGGTTTGCACTTCAATAAAACATTTCAATATATATTTGTTTACATTTTGATGTACTTAATATACAAAACATATTGTTGTAAAATTTATGCAATTACATCATAATTTCAAATTCCAAATCAATTGTACAATTTTACAACATTAAAATCTCTTTATTACTTTTGCATCTCTTACATTTTTATTTGCATTTCAGTTTACATAAGTTTTGCAAATTGTGCATATTGTTACTGAAATGCAAATATAAATTTTAATATATCCTAATAAATAATAATACTGATGACAAAACTAATAATATTAACGATTATCAAGTTAGTTATTATTATATCTTGTACAATAGTAGTCAGTGGAATTGCTACTAAGATTTTATTTGTGCATATAATTTTATCTCATTAATGTTCTCTAATATTATTAAAAGGACAAGTATTTCAAACTTTAAAATATATTGTAATGTACACTATGCAACTATTTTTAATATTGTATAAGATTATTCAACAGATAATTGAAATACATTTATTAAAAATTACTTATGTACATTAAAAAAAATATGATTTAATTTATGATATAAAATAACAAATTAAAAGTAGAATGTATTTTTTATTAAAAAAGTAATTCTAAGAAAATCAAAATATATATTCTTATATATATGTATATATATTCTTTTTGTTAACAGAAAATATCAAATGTATTATTAAATTCCTTTAAATTTTTACTTCAATTATTTCTTTCATAAATTATAATAAATGAATGAAATTTATATATTTAAAACGTATTAATGAAGATAAGCACAAAATTTTCGAAATTTAGTTGCATAATGTACAGTATACTCAATTATGCGTCTAAACATCTCTTATAACAGAAATATCTTAGATCTGTATCACATTTTTTGTATATTTTATAGTATTCATTTTCAATATATCTTTTACTTTAAAACAAATAACCCTATCCAGTGCAATCACAATTAATATATAAAATATTATAAAATATAATATATGTATGTAAAAATATTACAAATATGAAAATATTTTTTTATTATTTTAATTATGCTCTACTCATTATCTGTAATGTTATTCTTTATTTACCTATTTTTATATTTTAACAACATATTAAAAAATAATATTTTTCTAGTACTATTTACAACATTGAATTTTACTAAAAAAACTGCTATCTTTATCTTTCAAATAATTTTTAAATTATTAAAACTTACTTCAAACCTTTTACTGTAAAAATATAGAGCTGGAGGGGGTTAAATGTTAAATTTAAAAGTTGACTTTCAAATATACATGTATAGATTTAACTATAAGTTTATTTTAGACATTCAGTAAAGACGTTCATTAGTTGAAAGAAATTACAATATGTAGCAGTATGCGAAATGAAATGCACGACAATAAGTATCGTATAGTGAAGTTTCATATGACCGGAACTAAACCTTAAAAACCTTCTAGGTGATATTCATTGTTAATAAAATATTTTACTTTAAAAAACATTATAGTAATCTTTTATTTTTATATACAATATAATAATTTTCCAATTCTGTACACAGCATTATTTAATTTTTTTATGCCAATCTTTCTAAATCAGTAAAAAATATCAAATTAATATAGAGTTTATATACATATAAATTTAAAAATAAATTATAAAATTTAAGGATACAGAAAAATTTCAAATATCTTCATATATTACACATAACAAAAAAAATATATATGTATACCTCATTTTTTATATTAAAAATCATGTTAAATTTACTTTTTTTCCTTTATATTGCTTTCCCATGTTAATTGATTAATAATCAAAATTATAATTCCTGTAATATTAAATAAATATATAGTATATATAAGTAAAATTTAATAATGTCGATTAATATTAATATTAATTGTAATTTTTTACTACAACATATTTAATACAACACCTTTACTGTATGATACACGATAAATTGAAAAAATTATCAATGAGTCCTGAAAGTAATATACAAGTTATTACATGCAATTGATACAGACTCTATAAAATGATCAA